GGTTAAAATTACTAATTAGTCAAAATTACTAAGCGCGCCCTTCTGAGCTTCACTTTAAAAGCACTTCATTTTATTTTAAAAAGTATCTTTTACGTACTTTTTAGAAATTACAAAACGTTTGCCAAAATCGCTCAATAAATGAATATTTGGAAGTTGATTCTGAAGTTTTAATAAAGTTTTTCAAGAATGTAATATTTAAGCAATTTCTCTTTCTTTTTAAAAATTTATATAATTTATATAATGTATAAAAAATTCAAGGACTGGTCAATAAAAAGATAATAAAATATAATGTTTATTGTTCGTTGTTCCATAAAAAACTACACAAAGGGGCGTTTATTTCTAAAACAGTTAACATTTTCAAAATTCTTGACATGCAGTTTTGAAAATAATACAAACTATTGAAATTAAGTTTTAGTTTAAGTATCAGATACAACTTGCTATTCACCAACTTATGTAAAGTAATAGAAAATTATCTATTTTGCTGAACAAAATGATGAAAATGAATGTCATACATAACTGGAATTAGTCAGTTATAAGCTTCAATTTTTATTATTTTAATCCACTAAACGCTCCCCCGTATACTTTAATGTTTAAGTGTAAATAGAAGCATAAATCCTTTGTAAAAATCCTTTTAAAAGCAAAATGGACAATATCAAAATTAAAAAGCAGTAAATTAAGATAAAATTTTAAATTGAGTTTAAGGGCTAATAGCATAATAGTTGCCTGCTACGTTATATATATTTTTTTACATCCTATCTATAATATATCTTCAGTTTTTACATTTTTAATTGACTAAACGCTTCCCTGTATACTTTGATATTTAAGTGTAAATACGAGCTTAAATCCTTTGTAAAAATCTTTTTCAAAGCGCAAAGAGAATAACAAAAACAAAAAGCAGTAAATTAAGATAGAGTTTTAAATTGAATTTAAGGGCTAACGACATAATAGTGGCCTGCTACGTTATATATTTTTTACATCCCATCTATATAACATCAATAAAATGACGTGCTTGGTTCAGAGACACCGAAAACATATAAATAACATGGTATTTTTACTTAGCATCATCACATTTAATTGTATTCCATTTAAGAATCAGGTATGAAATTTTAAGGTTTTCTGTTTTTTTATCAACTCAAAGATTTTATTAACCTAAATAGAACGATGAAATTCTAAATTATCTACTTTTTTTAGAGTGTATTTTATTCTGATTAGAAGTAATTCAAAGCAGAAATGAAGCTTATCATTGTGGTATTAATGATGTTGGTTTGCGTGTACAGCATGAGTATTGAAAAAAATGTACCTAAGAACCATGAAATGCCAGCCAAAAAACAAGTTGCAGGTAAAATGTTTCTGCGTGTTAGCAAAAAAAATTAATTGGTATCATTTAACTGATACCAGTTAATGATAATGTGTACACTCGCTTTTCAACTGATTAGGGTTTTTCTGCCGCAATGCGCAAGTTTATCAATTAATTTACTGTACAATTAATATTTATTTTTGATGCACAACAGAATACACTAATAAAGTTTTTGTAGCTTTGAACTTTTTTCTTAAAATAATTTGCATAAAAGTACTTGACCAATATACAATAATGCTCCATGTCATCCGTTAAGATGTAAAATGTTAAAACACAAATAAGATATTAGGTGGTTTTCAAAAAATGCTAGTAACATTTTTCGTGTTAAGAATCAAAGTAATATATGAATAAACGTTAATGAAAAGTTGTTTTCAACTTAACTAATAAAATATAATTTCTGTTTTTTAAGCTGGATCATTTAAAAGCAAAAAATTTCATTAACGTAACTTTATCGTTTTGATTAGAATGTCATATAATTTTGTTAATTTTAATATTTTCAACGGTAGAAACTAAAACTGAATTAAAGAAACGTAGCGATGATGATGTTGAGGAAATATGTGATGACGATGATCAAGAGTGCAATGATAAAGAAGAAGAAGAAGAAGAAGAAGAAGAAGAAGAAGGAGAAGAAGACTGCGATGAAGATGATGATGATTGCGAGGATGAAAAAAAGAAAAAGAAAAGTACATCTTTATTAGTTTATGTTCTTATTTATTTTAGCAACTTAATTTATATTAGAACTCAAATAAATTTTGCTTACGTTAATGAATAGTTCTTTTTAACTTATTCCTTTTATTCTTCAAAGAGGATCTTCGAAAAGCAAAAACGATCATTAACGTAGATAAAACATTTTGAATGCGATGTAATATAACTTTTTAAGTCTTATTTTTTCAACAGGGGAAACTAAATCTAAATTAAAGAAACGTAACGATGACGAAGAAGGAGAGGAAGAATGCAATGAAGATGAAGAAGATTGCGAAGATGAAGTAGAAATAGAAGTAGAATGCGATGAAGATGATGATGATGATTGCGATGATGAAGATAAAAAAAAGAAAGGTACTTTTTTTTATTAAGTTAATTTTTCAATTACTTTAGCGACTTCTTTTATATAAAACCTTCACTTAATAATACAGCTGATTTTTTGAGTAAAACATTTTTTAGCCTTTATAATTTATATCTTCAAAGCACCTAGTTTTTATATATTTATTATTATATTAAATATGAATTATTATCTAACAATTCTTTTTAATATTTTCGAATCATTTTTAATACTTTTATTTTTAACAGGGGTAAACAAACTGAAAAGAGAAAGTAGGAAGAAAAACTCAAAGAAAACAGTGTCAAAGAATGCAAAGAAAAATTCTAAAAGATCAATGACTGCGAAAAAGAACAGCCAAAAAAAGCAACAGAATAAAAGAGACGCAGTTCACAAAAACCTTAAAGCTAAAAGAAGCAAACTTTAAAAAAAAATTCAACTTCTGATTTTCAAACTATTGTATTTTTGTTAAAGTTCCTGCGTTTTTTAATATCATGTTTATTTTTTTATTGATTGTATTTTATTTGTAGTTTTACGTTATAAACGCAAGAAAAAATTTAATATACACAATATTCCTTTATTTGGTAAAATCTGATTAATTTTAAGGAACGCAAATAAATAATCTCATTATGATCTTATCCTGATACTAAAATCATAGTTAAATTCATATAGGTGGTACACTCGAAAAGTGGCCCATTAAACTAAATTTTATAATTATAATCATAGTTAAATAGATTTAGGTGGTATCCTCGAAAAGGAACCTATCAAATTGAATTGTTTTTCAACGGTTTTTTGTTCTTCTGAATATAACACTACTTTTTCATCATCCAACTAACTGTATCTATGACATCATTATTCTGATTTTTTTTTCAACTAAAACTTTGATATGCATGTTTTAATTAACAATTTGAATAGATTTGATGTAAGTGTGATATAATCAGGGGTGTAGTTAGAATTTTGGCGCTTTTGGCAAATACATACATCGGCGCCCGTTTACGCCAAAGTTTAAATTTTTTGTGAAATATTCGTGGCTAAAAAAAAAAGAAAAAAAGAAGAGAAACAAAAATGCAATAAAAAATAATATATTCTTTCAAATATTTTCATTGCTATCAATATTTTTTAATGTAAAATAAATAACTTAGTACTCAGATATACGAAAGAAAGCCTATCTTTACAGCTAGTCGCTGTAAAGACCGGGTTTAATTCGTTTATGTGCGGATGACGTGCTTTTTTATCGTTCATATCTCGCGGTAAAATTTTAAAACGCTGATTTAAAATAAAACAGCGAATTTTTGACTTAAAAAATCAGGAAAAAAGTTGTCTGTGTTATCTTCAATTCATAACATTATAATTATTATGAATCCGTATTAGGGTTAGGGTCAGCATATAATATAATAAGTTCATAGCATGATTCATTTCCTAATTTCTTACTTTATCTATAAAAATTGAATGATTGATATTTTGTTATACTAATAAGTGTAATGTTAATGCTTTAAACAAGCTTAATACAATATTGTTATGTGAACTAAAGATATGAACGAATTACAGAGTCAACACCCCCAAATATCTACTTAAAGTCGGGTGTTATGGTGTTTTTTAAGTTTTGTAAGTTTACTTTTTGATTCAACTTTGGTTTAGTTCTTAGTTTCACTTTTGCTAATGATTTAATATTTATTGCAAACATTGCTCTTAAGTAATCTAGCAGAAAAAAAAAGTGATTTTTTTCTTCTTTTTGAAATACACAGCGTTAGTTTTTGGCCAAAACTCACCTAGCGTAAAAAGTTCACTCGACTAACAAAACTGAGTGTCGTCAAGAATTGAATAAATACACTTTGGTTGAGTCTACACTAAAATATGTAGTTAAGTAAGCAAGGTTCACGGCCTAATTGGTCAAAAAGTGAGTGTTTTAATGTGTTAATGTGTTCAAATCTAAGTAACATCTTTTGTTCATAGAAGAATATATGTTCTTTTAAACACTCTTCGTATTAGTCAAATTATGATAAATAAGTTTTTAAAACAATGCTTGTTAAACCACTATATTGCCTCTTTAATTCGCATAGTTCTACATTTGAAATTTAATACATTTTAGTTATGCATTTATTACTTTGTTATAATCAAAAAAGTTTAGCACAAAAAATTAATATGAACACAACACGAGAATTTGGATCTCTTTAATATATTTTTTTATTTTCACAGATGTAAATGATAATTTTTCATACATATGTTGATACTATTTCTATTACTATTGATATTATTTATTGAGTACTATTGATAATTTTTCATACATATGTTGGTTTATATCTGCGTTTTTCTCATTTATATTCCTTTATATCCATTTATTTGTTGTTTATTGAAAAACAAAAGCGTTTTGTAGTATATTTTTCAGAGTTTATAAACATTTGATACATAGTATTAGACATATCTTTTATGAGGTTATACTAATATGATACAAAGTATCAAATTATTATAAACCTTGATTTTTGCGTTATGTTTATCTAAGTAAAAGCTATGATCCAAGCAAGTATTGTGATTTAAAAAATAAACATTACAGATGTAATAACTTACAAAATTGTTACTGCAAGCGCGTGGCTTGTAAAAGCTTCTCATTTGTATTGGCTTAATATAAAAGAACTCTGCTGGCAATTATCAAAAAGAATGTACAAGCAACAAAGATTTTGTTCACGATGATGATAGTTTCATTTTATTTCTGACTTTCAAAAGTTATTTTTATTCATAGCATTTAATATATTTAATATAGACTTGGATTTTATTTATATCATTTTAAGATTTTTTTCATTTAACCTTTATAAAAAAGATAGCATATTCAAAACATAAAAAGAGTTTATTTCTATTAGTTTTGATAAAAATTACCTCTAATATAAATATTAACGATATATTTTTGTTATCAATGTCAGAGTTAATCTCAAATTAATAACATAATAAAAAAATGGAAGATTATTGTTTATAAACCTATAATCAAAACAATTTTTTTTTTCTAATTATAAAAAAACATTAAAAATAAATCATACAATGACCCGGCCGTTAAATTATCATATCAGTAAAACGTTAAGAAAATTTACACTAGCTTGCAGCTATTCATACAAAACGATTTACTTTATCAATGCTATTAAATAATGTATAAACGCAGTAACTGATTAGCAAAAAAAAAAACTGTCTAAAATTGTTGTTATCACCTGTCAATAAAATGAGTTAATAATGCGTAAAACCACACTTTACTTTGAGTAGTTGGCAAAGACGGTTTGGCATGTTTGAGACTAGTTTTTTTACAATAAACTGTCATTTTTTCATACCTGTGCCACACACTGATGGCCCCTTCAATTATCTGCTGCTTTGTTGTTGGTTTTAACTGGCTGAGTTTACTCTTGGTGAAGTTGCACAAATACTTTTTTGGGTTTTTATTGTGCGAATTGCCAGGACAAATTAGAATACGCAACTTATCAGCTAAAAGCTTCATGACAGATTTTGTCTTGTGGCAAGGGGCAGCATCCTGCGTAAAGATGCTATTTTTTCTGGGGTACCATGTTTTTATTGTGGAGAAATTTCTCCTGATGCACGTTCTATTACTGGTCCTGCCCTATTGCTTTCTCCACAACGTAGACACGACCATTACAGACGTTGGATGTTTGACACTTTGAATCACACAGTTTGTTTGGATTTTTTAACACTTTAATTTTTACTTTAGATGTTGTTATGGGATAGACAGTATCAAAAATACATTTAAAAGTAGCCGTAAAGTTGCTAAATGCCTGATTTTGATCCTTAGCTGAGTATACATTTTTCCAGAACTCCTCAAATAGTTTATTTTTAAATTATCAAGATTTTTTTTAGTAAGGTTTCTTTTAGTGACAAGACATTTTTTATTATTACTATTAGATAGAATACCACGTGCAATGTGAAAAATGGGGAAATGATCAGAAAAATCAGCAATTAAAATACCAGATTCAAAATCAGAATTATAAGAGTTGTTTGTTAAAATATTGTCAATGGCAGAAGAAGTCTTTTGCGTAATTCTTGTTGGTTAAAAGATATTAGGAATTATATTAAATTCAAGTAATGAATCAAAAAAAGATTTAATATTGGAAAACTTTTCGTAATGTAAAGCATCTATATCTAAATCACCTGCAAAAACTATATAGAAATATGAGGTCCATAATTTACGTCACGCTTTAAGGATGAGGGGAAGGGGGTAAGTTAGTGATTTTGTGACAACTTATACGGAACTTGTTACTAGAGTGTTAAGATGTTGTGACGAGGATAGGGGAGGGGTCTTAAATAGTTGAAAGTTTTGTGACGTAGTTTGTGAACGACCCCTAAGTTGATAGTTTTTTTAGAGTGTTTGATTTTGATTATAAACTTTTTTTTTTGAAAAATACACATAATATTCAAGTCCGCTATCACTGCTATTTTAGTTTTTTTTTTTAATTTTTTTATTATAATTTCAATTTATTTGCATTTAAATAAAAATACAAAAAAGTGATACAGGTAATTGGAGAATTACTCTTATGTAACACCGAGTTTAAAACAGTAAAAAGTGTCTCTGAATATTGTATGTTTATAAATTCGATTTAAATAGAGACAATGAAGAGAAATACACCAAATAATCAGGTAAAGAATTCTTTACCTTAGTAACTCTTTCACTGAAAAAAAATCCTTAAATCATTGATGTAGTTGTTACGTAATGTTAATTTTTGGGAATGACATCTAGTTGAATAATGAGTAGAAGTGAGAGTAAAAAACTCTGAAAAAGGCAAATCAACTAAGTTGTGCATAATCTTATAATTCATTAAAAAATCAAATTTTATTCTCCAGCATACAAGAGAGGCAAGATATCAAGTCTTGAAGTATAATCTTTATATGGAATACAAAACCGTGTGCAGACAACTCTTGTATAATGTTTCTGGACCTTTTCTACTCTACGTATATCTTTTAGGAGATACGGATTCCACAATTTTAGAGTCATGTACCCCTGACATGACTCTAAAATTGGTCGAATATAAACTTTAAAGGCTCTTATCAAAAGTTGAGAATCATTACTGATAAAAGACTTTAAGAGTAAGTAAGCACAAGAACTTGCTTTGCTAGCAATGGGAGAACAGTGTTTAGAAAGTTTCATATCGGAAGAAATAAATATCCCAATATCTTGGATTGAAATAGGTCCCAAAACAGTTCCTTGAGGTATTCCACTTTTAACATGAATGCTGTTTGAGTATGAATAATTAATACAAACACGTTGAGAACAATTTGTGAAGACGTTTGTAACCCAATTTAGCAACACATACTTGATACCGTAACAACGCAGTTTAAATAGTAAATTAGAGTGAGAAACAGTATCGAAAGCTTTCTCAAAGTCTATATGGATGATATCAACTATCTTTTTATTATTAACAGCAGTGGTCCACTAATTTAATGTTGTCAACATCTGTGTACATGAGGATCTACGCTTTAAGAAACCATACTGATGCTCAGAAATGAAATTATTCAGGAGTAAATAACTTGTAACGCTTTCCGTGATAATTGATTTCATAATTTTACAGACAATACATGTAATAGAAATAGGTCTATAATTTGTGGATAACGATGGGTTTCCTTTTTTAAATATTGGACATGTTATTGCAGTTTTCCAGATTCTAGGGATAACATTTTTGGACGTTGACATTTCAAAAAGAATAGAAAAAGGAATAGCAATAACATTTGCAATTGAAACGGGTGCAGATCTTGAATTTGACAAGAGATGAATTACCTGTTCTTTTGTAATCTCTACAGAGAGTACGTTTTTTGGAGGCTAATTTTCGGATGCCTAGAGGTTGGATTAGGTTTTTTCTATTAAAAGTTAACGGTACATGCAATGAGATTAATTTAAAAAATTACAGATAGTTTGCCATCTTGATTCAACATCTTGATTTTGTTTGGCTAGTAAAAACCAGTTTACATTTTGTAAATCGGAAATTATAGAGTTGTAATCAGCTTTGAAAAAATTATACTTAGTTACTTTTTTATATGGTTTATATTTCTCCAAATTACAATTGAAAAAAATCATGCAGTGGTGCAGGTACTTGTGAATGGGGCAATAGTTTCTATATTAAAAAACTTTTTAGAGTTGTTGTTTAGTATCAGATCTAAAAGGTTGTTAAGTCGAGTATTGTCGGATACAAGTTGGGTTAAAGCATTTTCAAAACACGTTTCTACAAAAAGGTCATGACATGAATCTCCGAAACTAATTGGGATTGACCAGTTTATAAGATGCAGATTAAAGTCGCCTGCTATGATGCATGTAGAATCGCAAGTAAAGCACAAAGCTTTGGTTTTTAAAATACTGATGGCTGCACATGGAGGATGATAAATGCATGCAATATGTATTTTTTGCTCAATTGATGAGAGAAACACGTCGACATATGCAATTTAATTATTTAGTAGCTCCATTGGAATATTAAGATTTTTTTGAAGTGAATGGATATTATTGCGCACTAATATAAGTGAACCACCTTTACTGTTTCGATTTTTTTGAAGATTTTTTTGAAGTGAATGGATATTATTGTGCACTAATATAAGTGAACTACCTTTATTGTTTCGATCATATCGATATACTTTTAAATTCTTGCCATTCAACAATAATAAGTCAGGTGTATTTTTATTTAGCCAAGTTTCGGTAATAAGTATGATATCAAGATTGTTGTTTTCGTGGAGATTGTTTATTATCAATCGATCTAGCATTGAAATAAGCACAGCTAATGGTATTGAAAGAATATTGCTTAACTTTTGTTTTGTTGTGATAGTTAGCTTGATTTACACTGAGTTTGGGATTAATGTGGTAGTTGCATTTATCGGTGTTATTATTACTTTTTTTTAATTCTGTTTAGTATATTTTGAAGCATCGATTTTAACGATGGCGTTGCTTCTAATGCAGTATCGAAAGGGCAAATTGAGTTTTCCATTCGCTTGCAATTCGTAGTTTTTAATTTTTTTTTTTTAAAGCAACATTTTCATTTTTGATTTCTTTGCTTCATTAAGATCTAGATTTATAAACACCTTAACAAATTATGTTGAGATTCTTAAGAATTTGACAGTGCTTAGAATGAAGTTACGATCACTGGCATTTATTAACTCAACTAAGACTGGGCTATTTGTATTTTGTGAAGGTAGTGTAGTTGAAGTTAAGGTTGTTGGCATATAGGAAGATTTTTTTTTTTGGTTTAAAACGATGCTTTTTCTTGATTTTATTTTCACTGATTTGGATTGAATTAAAATTTTTTTCTACTTTTTTTCAACTAGTTGGTAATCACTGTCATTAGGGTTTTCAGTATCTTGTTGTGGAATGCCAAATACTATTAAGTTTTTTGCTCTTTTGTCTTGGAATCGCTAAGTTGTTCTGGGGATTTAGTTTTAGTTTTAAATAGAGCACTCCAGTTCATGTTTGTTTTACTATTGCAGTTGTTGTTTGATTTATTTCTCAATATTTCGTTTTTTTTCTCCAGATTAACAACTCTTATAGTTAATAGTTCAACTGCTTTCTTGAGCATTAAGAATTCCTTTTCGTTTGCTTTTTTTGGTGCTCCAGGACCTTTCTGTGACATTTTTATTTGAGAGATCTTCAACAGAGTACAAAATCGCCAAACCACCCAGCAACAAACTTTTTAAATTTTTTTAATTAGTTATATATATATATATATATATATATATATATATATATATATATATATATATATATATATATATATATATATATTAATCTTATTACACAGGGACTTATTAACACAAATAGAACTGTTTGTTTATTGTGTTTTTTCTGTCCATAACAACCTTCATGAAATCTAAGTGGCTCTATTTGCTGATAACTCAACTTTATATTCTTGTCTTTTTACACAGGGACTTTAAAGTTTCAGTATGTGTTTTTTTTCCGTTTTAAAGATTTATAATGTTTATGGGTTTATCTTTAAAAAAAATTATCATCATTTTTTTGTCAACAATTAAATTTTCAACAAATTAGCCAGGACCACATAAATTTAACTAAATATATTATTTACTTAAAACTTTTAAGTCTTGATTAGTATTATATTAATTTTTTTTAAGACATAATGCCAGACTTTTTTTTTAATTTAAAAAAAAAATTGCAATGGTCACGTGATCTTTGTATTCGTCATCATTGGTGTTTCATTTTTTTTTTAAATAGACACAATCTCTATTTATATATCTTTTTGAAATTATATATTTATGGGGTGTAAATATGATGTCTTTTATCCCTAATATATCATTTTCACACAGCAAAATCCAAGATTCTTATTTTAAGCAAAAAAAGTCTTAAAACAAGAAAAAAATGACTTGTCCGCCACATAAGAATATTTTTTCTTGTTTCAAGAATTTTTATTCTTAAAATAAGAATTTTTTTCTTGTTTTAAGAACTTTTTTTCTTAAATATTTTTTTTTTCTTGTTTCAAGAATTTTTATTCTTAAAACAAGAATTTTTTTTCTTGTTTCAAGAATTTTTATTCTTAAAACAAGAATTTTTATTCTTAATATAAGAATTTTTTTTCTTGTTATAAGAGTTTTTTTTCTCTTTTTAAGAATTTTTTTTCTTGTTTCAAGAATTTTTATTCTTAATATAAATTTTTTTTTCTTGTTTTAAGAATTTTTATTCTTAATATAAGAACTTTTTTTCTTGTTTTAAGAATTTTTATTCTTAAAACAAGAACTTTTTTTGTTGTTTCAAGAACTTATATTCTTAAAATTATGTATTTTTTTCTTGTTTCAAGAACTTATATTCCCTAAAAAAAATCATTTTTTACTTGTCTCAATGTTATTTTTATTTAAAACAAGATTCTATTTTTTTTTTCAATAATATTTCTCCTGAACTATAAAACAATATTACAAAAGTACTTTTTCTATGGAAAAAATGAAACATTATTTTGAAATTAGGATGATATATAATAAGAATATTCAACAAGCATTTATACATATAAACAACAAATCTAATCGTTAAAATAACAAATTATTCTTTGGAATGTTTTATTATTGTTCATGCTTGCAGCGGCAATACTCCTCCTATCTCCAAAAAAAGTGTACTCCAATAAGTTCCATCACGAAGTCAGAAAGATAAAAACTTCATAAAATAATCTTTTGCCACACATAATAATCACTTCGTCTGCATCGTCTGTAACGTACAGATAAGGATTTCTTATACCTGAAAATAAATTTTACAAACTCAAAATTTAACAATAATATCTTTTCATATCTTAAAATGTCGACAATTTATAACTCATTTTAGTTTTACTAATTTTGAGGGTTGTGTATGCATGCATACCTACCTGTATTTGGGTGGCAGTGGGCGAGGAACTGCCAACTTGTGTATTCCATAATGCAAAAGTGTATCGATCTCTTCATTCTTGCTGAGTCAACTGTGACAGAAGACTTTCATACATGTGCCATGTCGCCAACAATCTGAATTAAATAATAATAATAAAAAAAGAATACAACTTTAAAAAGCAGAGAAAACTTATAGAATAACCCATTAGAGGACATAGCAGTTTTGAAAATACCTTCTCATTTAAAAAAGGATTTGTGATTTTCAAACACTATTTCATTTTATCCAATAAATATATGAAATCACAAAAGAAAAAATTTTTTTTTTACAAATAGCACATTAGGGACACATTGATATTTCTCTAAAAATGCTGCAACTCTATCAACTCTCTCAATTGGAAATTTATTTACCCAGGTTAATAAATTAAAATTCTATACTTAGTTCAATTAAAATGTTCTAGTGCATTTTAATTGATCATGTTATAAAAATAAGGATAAAAAATGTAAAAAATTAATTAATAATACTAAATTTACTAATTGAAAAGAATTGTTTTCTTTACTTACTTTACTTTGCATGTATTTGGAAACTTGCAATTGCTTAAAAGAAAACACACACATATATGTCATATATGTGTATGTATGCAACATAAACATGGATATTTAAAAATAGTACTAATACTAATCTTAAGTAAAAACCAATTGTATAATAATAGCAATAACAATATTAAAACAATTATAACGAGGTAACTAATGTTAACAATTATATTTATATTAATATAATAATAACAACAATAATAGTAACAATAATATTGATAAATATTAAATTTAATATTAAACAATAACAATAAGTAATAGTGATATGAATAGAAGTAAAATAACATTGATATTTATATTACACATAATCATACCAAGAGCAATAATAATGACCCACAATGAGTCCAACATTTTAAGAACAGTAATTACATTTCTCCAAAATAAAACGACATAGAGATGAGTTTTACTAGTAAAGTTTAGTGATATAAAGTGAATATAAAAAATAAATTATTCTATGAATAAAAAATGATAAATTATTTCATGATTTTATCCATTGGTTTGTGATGTGATTTGTTATGCTGTACTTAACTGAACAATGATTTAGAATATATAATTTAAGGTTGCTAAAAGAGGAAGATAATTTTGAGAATTTTTTTATAGAAGTAAAGAAATTACAGATTGTAAGAGGTAGGATAACTTGTGTGTGATTTCAGACAAACAAACAATTAAATAGATGAACAAGAGCACACAATTTGGTAATTTTGGATAGAAAGAAAAGAATATTAGAATTAGAGTGTTATTCTTGAAAGTAAATTAATTTAAATATCGTGTTTATAGATTAGATATTCATAAAAAATTATTGGTTCATAAATTATAAGTATATATAATATATCATATTAGAGTGTTTGTAGTATGTTTGAGAAATAAAATTTATATTAATAGGTACGTGGACTGATTTTTTTAAATTGATCCAATACTAGAATGCTATATATTATTGGAAAGCCAATATAAATACAGTATTTTAAAGGTGAATAAATGATAAAAATTAGACAATTCTATAAAAAAAAATATAACGTTTTTAGTAGCAATTTTTCAATATATGGATTTCTTGATAAAACTGTGGTCAAAAAAAAAAATTTTCCTACATAAATTATTATAACTTTGACAATTCTTATTCAAATATCTATAACTTAGTATCAAAAGATAGATGTAAAAATGGGCTATAATTTCAAACTAGTTTCTAGGGCGCATGGAGGGATCCAGAGGGAGTGCTAATCAGCCACCTACACCTCACAAAAATACAATTTTTTTTTTAAATAGAGTGTTTTCTTTATAAAATTAGTTATATTTTTATACAACAAGTTATTATTTATTTATTTCACATCACAAGCAAATATTACAGGTTTATCTTAAAGTTGGGTGTTGGGTTTTGGGGAAGGTTTTACACACCCTTTCAAAATTTCATTCTTTTAATTATTACAATCTTTACTAAAATGATTAAATCTATTATAAAAAACAAAAAAATGTATTTCAACACTATAACAAAGAGTAACTAGTGGTGTATAGATTGCTTTGATGAAAGTGGGCGTATATGGCCCCTCCCCCTCTGCCATGAACATGAAAAAAAAAATTTTATGAAAAAAAATATTTTAACACATTACAAAATGCACCAGAGTATTCATTGAAAAAAGACCGATTACACACTCCAACCTAAAAAAAAATACACGAAAACAACAAGCCTTTTGAAATGAAAAAGTTTAGTATAGTATGTATAAATTGCCTATATGCACCCCCTTTCATAAAGGCAATTTATACACCTAGAGGTGTATAATTTGTCTTTATAAAAAGAGGAGCAAGCCATCCCCCTCCTCTGTCGGATTCAAATAAAAAAAATTTAATTACAATTTAACAAAGTAGTCTTTAAATTTTTTTTTTAAAGAAAAAGAAATTAGAATAAAAAACTATTTTACCACATTACAAGATGCATCTGAGTATACATTATCATGTAAAGGAACAGATTAACCACTCCAACCTGAGAAAAAAACACAAAAAAAAACAATTTTTTTGAAATAAAAATTGTAATTATTTCTTGTCTGGACTTCTAGTAAATAATTTAATTTTTAAATTACATTAACAAAACAAAATGAATAATTTTTAACAATAGACACCACGTAAAGGTAAGCCAGAGTCAACTTTTAATTTGCAAGCCATAAAACTTGTGGTACCTACTTGCAAGCCACAAAACTTACTGTATCTTATTTGCAAACAACAAAACTTGCGATACTTATTTTGCAAGTCACAAAATTTGCAGTACCTATTTGCAAGCCACAAAACTTCCAATACCTATTTGTAAGCTACAAAACTTGTTGTACTATATTTGCAAGCCACAAAACGTGTGGTACCTCTTTGCAAGCCACAAAACTTGCTATACCTTATTTGAAAGCAACAAAACTTGTGGTACTTATTTGCTAGTCAAAAAACTTGTTGTACTTATTTTCAAGCCACAAAACTTGCAAAACCTATTTGCAAGCCATTAAACTTCTGGCAGTTATTTTTCTGGTTACAAAACTTGCTATACTGTGAGCATTTTTACATTAATTTCATATTCCAATTAAAAAAAACTAAACTTCCCTGATATAACAACAGCAACTAGCTGGAGTTTTTAATCTTTTGACAGTTCAATATCAGTTCCATCTTGTTTCCAATAAGAAACAGTGTAAATTATGCCTTGTTATTTCTTGTTTACGTTTTTAAACTCTACCATTATAAATGGCAAAATGAAAACTTAAACAGAAAATTAGCAATGAAAATATAAAAAAAATCTAATTACAAACAACAAACTAACACTTGGAATATTGCTACAAAGTTAAAGTAGTAAACAATAAATTAATAATTATTATTAATTTTTTATTAATTTTAAATTTATAATTCAAAATTATTAATATAAAACAATATTGATAGTATAAAAGATAAAATTATTATTGAATATTATTAGTTAATAACAATTTTATCTTTTATACTATTAATATTGGTTTAACATTATTAAAATACTTTAAAAACATTAACTTAATGATTGAGTTTATGTTTTTAAAGTATTTTAATAAAAAAAGTTATAACTGTTATTGACTATTAATAGGTACGCGGAAATCGCGATTTACGGAACCGATTTTTATGCTAAAATATTGGTTCTCGATTTTTTAACTCTTTTTTAGGCAGCATGAGGCAGACGTAATTTTATGGAGTTTCTTTTTAGAAACATATATGCACATAGATACTTTTTTGAAAGAAGAAAAGTTAATCTTGATTTATATATGACATTTATGTATGGTTACTTAACATTTTTATGGATTATTTTGCTTGTGAAAATATGGTTGATGTTCTCACATGAATATTTAGTAGTGGAAGTATTGATCCCTCTTTTTTTATTATTTAGATAATTTTCTACATGCATTTTCTATGCACATGCCAAATTTCAACTAAAAATAAAGCTCCGCAGATAGTTTAATTTGTGTTATACTAAGTTTACTACTTATTTTAGGTAGTCCTAGCCAAACATTTTTTTGTGGTGATTCTTATCAGAAACATATACAAACCTATATTATTTTTAAAAGACAAAAGGTTAAGCTTGATATTTTATGACTAATATGTTTGGTTAGTATAATTTTTTATGGATTATTTTGCCAAAAACTTTGCATAAAATTTTGGTTGATGTTCTCACATTAATTTTTAGTCGAATAAATGTTGATCCCCCTTTTTTTATGATTCAGATAATTTTCTACATGTGTTTTCTATGCACATGCCAAATTTCAACTAAAAATAAAGCTCCGCAGATAGTTTAATTAGTGTAGAACTTTTGGTACCTAATTTTGGTTTTTCTGATGTTTTTTTTGTTAAGCGAAAAACGGGGGCGGATAGGGGGGCCGACTTTACAAAAAAAAAAATTAATCCTTATTTTGTATTATTTTGATTTTTATTATTAGATTAAAATAAAGCATGAACTCTGAGGACAGAACTCTACTTGCATCCCTAACAGGTAGTAAATTTAATTTTTTTAAAAAAATATCAATAATAACTATTTTAAATCAAAAAATATTCATAAATCATTTATGAATATTTTTTGATTTTTAATGTAATATATAAAAACAGATTAATTCCTAATCTGTTTTTATATGTTACATAAAAAAGAAGATTAATGCTTCAGTCTAAAACTTTGGCTTTTAAATGGATTGTTAACTAATAGTATCTGTTGACAATTTTATAAAGACAAAACATATAAATAAGTATACAAATCAGATACTTCATTGGTTTATTCCTTGCAAAAGACTTGTTACTATTTTTAAATATGAAAAAATTTATCAACTTATTATCATCTTTTATTATTTTTGGATTGTATACTTCTTTATCTGTGGATTATTATTTAAATCAAAATACAAGCATGCCTAATGTTTGCATGTTGTTTAGATCCTGCTGCTCATTATGAAGCCTTTTTGAGATATCGTAAGTATAAATCACATATTTTATATATAACCACAACCAATATAACATACTTAATATATAAACAAAGTGAATAACCATTCCTAATGTTAGCTTGTTGTTTATTAAAGTATTTTCTTTATATTTTCACTGTTAGTTTTCATTATGTTAATAAAGCTGTTGCATCTTCCACAGAACTATGATAGTTACTTTCATAATTGCATAGCGTTTTGTTGTAATTATACACTTTTTTTTGTTATTTTTAGTTCGATCTACCCAGCCTACCACTTGTAAGTTTGTATAGTATAACTTGAATATCAAATATTAACATGTATATCTTGGTTTAATTTATATTATTTTTGATCTTTACTTTATTAGTTGCTCGGTTAGTTATTTTAAAAGCTAGTACTTTTTAATCTGTAAATAAATTTAATACCAATTTCAAAGTCGTCAATTGCATAATTTATTTTTTATTACTTGTTTTTACTTTTAGCAACATCTTCATCCGCAATGAGTGGTAAGTTTAACAATTACTACTTTTTAATGTTTGCATTTCTTGACAATTGCAAATTTATTTATTCTATAAACTTTTTAGTTCTTGTTCCATCCTCAACTGCATTGAGTGGTAAGCTTAAAAATATTTTTATAGCATCCTTCAAAAAACCTGTTCATATATGTATGTATTTTGGATCAATTGCAATATTTATTTTTTATTACAATTTTTTTAAATTTAGTTCCATCTACACCTGCTATAATTGGTATGTTCACAAATTTTTACTTTTCAATCTGTTTATGCATTTCTTGGCATTTCTTCGCAATATTTATTTTTATTTCAACTTTATTAATCTTTAGTTACATCTTCAGCTGCTACAAATGGTAAGTTTATAAACTATTATTTTCTGATATGTGTATGCATAATATATATGTGTAAAAGTATTGTTTCTAATATGTGTATGCCTATCTTATCTATTGCAAATAAATTGTAATTTGATTTTTTACCTTTAGTCCCACGACCTCCACAACAAGATGTGCAACCTTCTGCTGGTAAATTTATGATTTAGAAATGTTTCTAAATGATTATTTAATTCATAATATTTTTATTTATATTCATTAATTAATACATTTGTATTATGTTATCCTTCAAAGTGCAGTAGAAGTAAAATCCAGAGCAGTATTTAATTTTTTATTTTAATCAACATTTTTTAAGCTATCATTGATTTATTATTTCTTCATTTTATTTATGCAGCCAATCAAATAATTGGTTTATATTAAATTTTATGTAATGCCATTCACTAATGTAGTTACTATTTATTGTCATTTAGACTTAACATATGGTGCCTATAGGAGATATAGGGACCAGCACCCTGGACCGATTAGCAATCGATCATATTTGCGATGGGTCCGGTTAGGAGGGAATGATGGTGAATCATTCAGCTGGGCCTATCATCCTCCTAACAGGGGTGCTGGGAGCTACAGCAGAAGAGGAAGCCATGGTGGAGGTCGTGGGCGAAGAAGGAATGGTGGCGGCCTCACCGTAAATGGTGGCATACACTATTACTAGGCGCCGCCATTTCTGTTTTTTTTAAAAATAAATCTATAACATTATCAAGTTTGTTTTTCATTTGTTTACAATTTTTACAATTAATAATATTTGACTTATTTTTTTAAAATTTTTACCGATAATAAATTAATGTTAATAGTATTAACATTAATTTATTGTATACTACTTTATTTTTGTATTTAATAATTAACATGTTTAGATAATAGAATATATAAATTGTATACTACTTTATCTTTTAATTATTGTTTACAATAGCCTATTAAACAGGCTATTGTGATCAATAATTAAATGGTTTTATTTTAAAATGATAATAAGATGATGATAATATATTTTAAAAACACTAACAAGGCTTTTGTTAGTAAAGTAAATGTGTAAAGATAAATAAGTGTAACATCACATAAAGTATGTGATCTTTACACTTATTTATGTATGGTGTTTTTATAAAGTTGTCCAATGATACTTTGATCAAAGTATTCTCAATTGTAACTTAATTGAGTTAACAATTAATTCAAAAGCAACAGTTTTACTGAAGCCTTCAACGTTAAGAATTTAAAAAAGATTTAAATTTATCAACATAATTTAGTTTTAAAAATAATTATCACTTATACTTTTATTAAAAAAAATAACTTACTAGTTGTTACAGAGTCCAACAAAACTTCATTAATTTTTTCCATTTTGTTATTTAATAATAAAAATCCGAATAAACATTTTCGCAATAACAATTGTTTTGCGAATGGCCCCCCTAGCTGCCCCCGTAATTTGATATAACCGAAAAAAAATCAGAAAAACAGAAATTAGGTACCAAAAGTGTTACACTTAGTAAACTGCTTGCTCCCTTTTTTTTTCGTTTAAATTTGGCAGTTACATAAAAAATGCATGTAGAAAATTGCTAAAAAAATAAATAGAGCGGGATCAACATTCCTTCTACTACAAATTCAAGTGAGAACATCGTCTAAATTTTCATGCAAAATTTGAAGCAAAATAACCCATAAAGAAGTTTAGTAACCATACATAAAAGTTATATAGAAAAGTTATATATAACTTTTCTTCTTAAAAAAACAAATCTTTATTTGCATATTTTTCTAAAAAGAAATACCACAAAAGTACGTTTTACTAAGACTACCGAAAAAATGCAGTATGCGTGGTAGAACCCTTTGAAACCTATCTGCTCCATTTATTTTTTCGTTAAAATTTGATATGTGCATAGAAATTGCATGCAGAAATTTGTTTGATTCAGTAACCATACATAAAAGTTATATAAAAATCAAGATTAATCTTTCTTCTTTCAAAAAAGTTTCTGTATATATATTTCTAAAAAAAACTTAACAAAAATACGTTTGCCTAATTAGGCAAACGTATTTTTGTTAAGTTTTTTTTAGGTAGCATCACGATTTTTTTAAGTTAGAAATCAAGATTTACGGAACCGATTGTGGTAAAATTTTGTGGCTCGTTTTTTTAACTTTTTTTTAGGTAGCATTAGCTAATGCTATCTAAAAAAAAGTTAAAAAAACGAGCCACAAAATTTTAGCACAATCGGTTCCGTAAATCGTGATTTCCGCGTACCTAATATTAAGAGAGATTTGCTTTTTACTAATACAATCTATTTGACTTTAGAAAAATATATTGCTGGTTTAATACAGTTTTATTGATGTTATTCCATTTATGAAAAAATTGGGTGCTAGGTTTGAATAAAACAAACAACATTTGGTCCAAATACTCCATTCATCACGAGTTTAATAAATAAGTTGCAGCATTAATTTTTACAAAACCAAAATTAAAAAAAGTTGCTATATAAAAAATGTAAGATCCGCAGCCATTTTAAAATCTCTAAAATTTCTTATGAACTTTTTGAACATGTAGCTAAGATCCTTTTGAACTTTTTGAACATGTAGCTAAGATCCGCAGCCATTTTAAAATCTTTAAAATTTCTTATGAACTTTTTGAACATGCGCTCATAAACATAACGCTTGTAATATATATATATATACAAACTTTGTTTGTATATAATATGTATACATATATAAATATATATACATATTATATACAAACAAAATGTTACAATATTATAAAATTAGGAACAATGTTTTTTTATTGAAATATCTTTAAATAAGAATGGAAATCTAAAATAAGAATCAAGTTCTTAAAATAAGAATCAAATTCTTAAAACAAGAATCAAGTTCTTAAAATAAGAATCAGGTTCTTAAAATAAGAATCAGGTTCTTAAAATAAGAATCAAGTTCTTAAAATAAGAACAAAAGTTCTTAAAATAAGAACAAAAGTTCTTAACCTAGAATCTTGGATTTTGCTGTGCAGTATGTATATTTTTACTGTTTACAAATACCATATATAGTTGCGAAAAATTACATTTGAAATAATTCGTATAGCATGTTTTTGTCTACTGAGTAGTTTTTTTATGTTGGTTGCGTTGGTTTTTTTTTTATGTTGGTTGCGCAAAGCAATTTTCTCATAATTAAGGTAGCTGTGAATAAAAGAGAAGTATATGTTTTTTAAACAGTTTTGATTTAATAACCTTTTAGTTTTATATAAGCCAATATTTTTTGATATTTTATTTTCTATTATACTTATGTGTTCACGCCATGAAAGATTTTCGTCTAGAAATACTCCTAAGAACGCGCACGAGTGCTCTCTTTTTATATTAGAACTATCAATACAAAGATAAGGAATTTTTAATGGAATAGTTCTTTTTTTGTGCAGTTAATGAAAAAGAATGTATTTCGTTTTTTATTTATATTAAATTTTTTTACATCAAACGCTTTTAGTATGTCATGAGTAAGGTGAATAATGGCATGATCAGTGGAATGTCTTGACTTAAATCGGAATTGTTTGTTGTAAATAATATTATTACTATTTAGAAAGGAATAAAGTCTATTCTACATAATTCTTTCTAGTATTTTTGAGAAACAAGGAAGAATTGAGATTGGTCTATAGTTTATAAAGTTTGAAACATCACTAGATTTGAAAATTGGTACGACTTTTACAATTTTAAGTTTTTCTGGACAAACGCCTTGTTTTAAAGATAGATTAATAATGTGCAATAATGGAATAGTTATATATTTTATTGATATTTTATTAATGACACGACTACTGATATCATCATATCCTAAACCTTTTTTTAGGTTTTAACAAAATCATGGCATCCAACAGTTCTCTTTCCGTAAGTTCACTATTGTCCATTAGATTGGTATTATTAAAATTTAAAAAAGATTCGAATTTTACTTTTGTGGTTTCTATTTTTGATGCTAAGTTAGAACCTACATTAACAAAATACTGATTAAATTATTCAGTAATTAAAGATTTATCTGTAATAAGTTCATTATTATTATTATTTTTTTTTTTTTTTTTAATGTTGATTTAGGTGCCCCAAGAAGTCCTTACGGTCTTATCACAGAGCACCGCGGAAGAGCATTTAATAGGAAGTTCACGCCTCCTTCCTAACCGATGTCGCAAAACTTGCCCAGAGGCGGGTTTGAACCGCGGATCTTACGTTCCTGAGGCAAGTGCAAAAAATTATTTGATTTAAGATTGATTAGAAGGCTATTCCGATCAAGATTTTTTTTCCCGTTACTTCTTTAATTATGTTCCAGATCTTTTGCGTTTCATTTTTGTGTTTACTTAAGTGTTGACAATAATAATATTTTTTAGAACGTCTTAAAATTGATTCAAAATAACGCTTACAGTTTTTATACTTGGTTTCATTTTCAAGTGTTCTTTTTTTGATAAATTTATTATATAATTGTTATTTTTTTTTGGATGACTTTAGAATACCCTTTGTTATCCAAGGATTTTACAGCGTTTTTGCTTTGACAAATTTTGTAGTCTTCGAAAAAACTTTGTTATAAACTTTTTGAAACTTGTTAAGAAACATATCATATGCTTTATTAACGTTTATAATTTTTAAAAGATAATTCCAATTTATAAAAGATAAAAGGTTATGAAAATAGTTTATATTTTATATTTATAGTTTCATTTATTTCTCTAGTTGTTCTTTTCATTTTTGGGCACTTTTTATTATCGCACTTTTCATTATCGCACTTTTCATTATCGCACTTTTCATTATCGCACTTTTGCGATGCTACAAATACAGAAATGTCAGATTTAAATATTCCTGTTTTAATTTTGGTATTTATGAATTCATTAGTGATTATTTGATCAATTGCAGTAGCACTTTTTTTGGTAATTCGAGCGGGTTTATTAATTAGTGGAATGTAACAATTCTGGAAAATACAGTTTAAAAAGTTTTTTATTTTTTTATTTGTGTCATACTCAAGAAAGTTGAGGTTTAAATCGCCCACGAGGTACACGCTTTTATTTTATCTTGATTCGGTTTTAAATATCTTTTCTACATAATCTTCAAATAGTTTTATTGCTCCAGAAGGTGGCCTGTATATAACGTAAACAATAATATTTTTTAAGGCTTTGTTTGCGATTTCAATGCGCAACGACTCATAATTGCTTGTTGTTGAGCATAACTCTTTTTTAAATTCATAGGAAAATAAGTTATTTATAAAAATACATAATCCCCCACCCAGGGCCGGCGCGAGTAGGTGTCACGTAGGGGGTGCCATTATCACTTTTGCCGACTAAAAAAAAAAAAAAGTCCTCGTTTTTGAAAACTTGCCGACTGCCATGACGACATTTGCCGACTAATTATCTAAACTACCGACTACCCTATATCGAAAGGATCGACATTTGCCAACTTACTAGTCGAAAAGGGTCAAATTTGCCGACTAAAAATCATTGATGAAGGAGGTGTAACACCCCCCCCCCCCACACACACACACACACTCCTTCGCGCCGGCCTTGCCCCCAACTGTCTTCTCAGAGTTCCTAAACTGATGAATTGCTTTATAATTTTGTAACTGATAATTTGAATCATTCTCAATATTAACATCTTGACACGATGTTTCGCTAAGACAAATAATTTTAAAATTAATTTTGCTTTTATACAAAAACTGCTTGAATAATTTAAAATTTTTTAGTAAGCTTCTTATGTTTAAATGCAAAAGTGAGAACGAATTAATATCCAAACCTTCAATAAGGTTTTCCAATTCTATATCATAGTATATTGGATTGAAATTTCTAATTTGTTCTTTATAATAGTTAATATCAGGATCAAAATCTTTATTCAATAATATTGTTTTTTTATTTAGAATTGATTAATTCAGTGTTTTGGAAAATGGTATTTTGCCTCATAAGAATAAATGTATCAAATAAAAAATAATATTAATAAATAATAATGTAATTATTTTATTAAGTATAATAAAATGTGTTTGTTTAAAGGTTAAAAGTAGAAAATGCGATTAAGCGCTGATTTGTTTTCTCCTAAAATCTTTCACGATGAGTTTATCTTAAATAATAACAGAATACTTACCATTCTTTCTGTGTTCTTTTATCTTGTTTGGTAAATTTTTAATTACTTCACGTGTTTCACAGGAAAAATTTTCATTTATATAGATTCCCGATCCTTTTAGTTTATTTGCTGCCTGTAACAACTTTACTATGTCCTTATAGTGAAGTAATTTGATAACTATGGTTCTTGTCTTTTGCCTTTCTCAATCCCTAACTCAAATAGTCAACTTTCCAACTCGCTTTCCAGACAACCCAAATAATTTACCTTCTCTACTCGACTTAGGTGCTTCTAATCATGGTTTGGTCTCTCTAAAACTATTATCTCATTCTTCTTTACCATCAGAATCCCCCTATCATCGTACATCTTACAACTATCTTAAAGCTGACTGGGACTCTTCCGTGATTTTCTTCGTGATGGCCTCTGGGTAGAAATCTTTCGTCTTCCTGTTGGCAAATGTGCTTCTTACATAACTTCATGGATTCAGGCTGGCATTGAATCCTTTATTCCCTAACAACGATTCCAGGTCAAGCCTCACTCTTCTCCGTGGTTTTCCTCACATTGTGCTGCTGCAATTGCCAATAGAAACCATTACTTCCATATCTATCAGCAAAACAATTCTCTAGAAAACAGACGTCTGTTTATTACTGCTAGGAACCATTGTAAAAAGGTTTTGTCTAACGCCAAAGCCCGCTATTCTCAGATCATGACATCTCGTATTTCATCACAAAAGTTAGGCTCTGGTGACTTCTGGAGAATCTTTAACAGTATCAATAATAAGGGCAAGTCTGTAATTCCACCTCTTTTGTATGGTTCAGATTTTGTCACCTCAACTATGACAAAGCTGAATTGTTTGCTAAGAACTTTTCATCATTATCATCTCTTGATTCCATTAGTTGCGTTCTACCTGATATAGCCGTCAAACAGGTTGATCCATTGCTCGACATCCGTATCGCTCCAGCTTCTGTATCTAAAGTGATTTCCTGCTTAGACTCTTCCAGCTTGCGGCCCGGACAACATACTCGTTATAGTCTTGCAGAAGTGTTCTCCGGAGCTGTCGTCTATCTTTTCAAAATTATTTAACAAGTGCTTATCAGAGTCTTGTTTTCCAGCCTGCTGGAACTTTAATTCAGATTAAACTCAATTTTTTTCAGCCAATCGTTATCGCAATAATTTAGACCTTCCTATATTTATGAACGGTAATGTACTCGATGAGTCTCCTACCCTTCATCTTCTAGGATTAACTCTTACTTCGGATCTTTCTTGGAAACCTTATATCAAATCCGTTGCAAAATTAGCATCTGCTAAAGTTGCTTCTCTTTATCAAGCTCGACACTTTCTTACTCTGGATTCTATTCTCTATCTCGATAAAACTCAAATCCGGCCTTGTATGGAATACTGTTGCCATATCTGGGGCGGATCTTCTAATGATGCCCTTTCTCTTTTAGACGAGGTGCAAAAACGCATTGTAAACATAGTTATATCTGCTGTTGCAGCCAACCTTCAACCTCTGTCACATCGTCGTAATGTTGCTTCTCTTTCTCTTTTCTACAAATACTATAACGGGCACTGCTCTAAAGAGCTAGCGTCTCTTGTGCCATCTACTAAAATTCATTCTCGTGTTACTCGTCATTTAATTAAGTCTCATCCTTTTTCTGTTACTGTTCCTAAGTGTTCCAAAAACTCTTACTCGTCCAGTTTTTTTCCTCGAACATCAGTTCTTTGGAATTCGCTTCCTTCATCTTGCTTTCCTGATTCATATAATTTGCAATCTTTTAAGTCATCTGTCAATTGTTACCTTGCTCTACAATCTCCATTTTTTCTCTTCCAGTAACTTCCTACACTAGTTAGTGGTTGCTTGCAGCCTTGTTGGAAGCGAAAATGTTTAAAAAAAAAAATTAATATTGTAAAATCTTTTTTTGACTTTAGTTTTTTAACGATTACTGCTTTTTGTATTCATGATTTTCTAAGTGTATAGCTCAAAGTTCTTAGACGTAAAACAGCGTTTTATTTATCACAAATACAAGTTTTTCAGATTATGTGCGCCCGTTTTCAAAAATAAAGTTATTTAAACAACGACGGAAACAAAAACAATAAGAGAGAAGTTTTCGTTTAATGGTTTTAATTTTGCAAGATTTTGTGTTACTGATGTAACTCGATATGTAGAGAGGGCTTTGCAATTAAAAGTTTATCGAATTTTGTCAGAGTTCTTAATGAAATGGTTTGCAGCATATATTATGGCGTTAGACCATTTTTTAAACAAAAAGTTAGTTAAAGAGAGCAAATATAGAATTTAAATATATAACTTAAAATATAAAAGAGGGCTACTGAAAAGATAATACTTTTTCATTTTGCCCCAATAAAAATTAGGCACCATGATCTATTGTAGAGATATTACTGTCTATTATTTTGATGTCATTAAGAAGCAAAGCAGTTCGTCTCTTAAATCATTTGGGTTCATATATTATAAAATAAACTAAGCAGACACTTAAATACGCTTCGGGAGTGGACTTAACTTGCAATACCGGCTTCATATAAATTTAAAACAATTTTAAAGTGTCGTATGCTATTTAAGTGTTTAAAATGGTATAAAATATCACAAGACATGTAAAACTTGAAATATATAAAATACATTTTAAAAAATATAAATAAAAATTATTATGTTAATTTTAATAACCTTCCTAAAGATTTACTACATTCCGTTAGAATACGTGAGTTGGGCCTAAATGTCATAACATTTAGGTTCCGTTATGAGCGTCAACCGCATTTTTTTTTGTTAATAAATAATCGTCATTTAAAAATTTGTTGGTATCGATTTCATTATCATCCTCGCAATAATATTCTGAATTTTCTAATAAGAGATTTGTGGTTTGACTTACTCGATTAAATTGTTTATCATCGTTATATAGTGTAGATTGAAAGTCACTTTCGTTTTGTTGCTGCAAAAATATAGACGTATCAATAAATAAGTTACTGTCGTTATTAAAAGAAAAATTTGGATCAAAATGGTCAACAAGAAAGAATGCATGACCGTCAGTGCGACCATCTTCACTAGTTTTTTCATTGTTCAAAGGTATAACCGATTGAGCATCAGTATTAGAACTCTGACCATTTAAATATTTATCTGGGTGAATAACTTGTTCAATTATATCAGCATGATAAGCAATTTGAATACTTTCACAAAACGATGTTGAACTAGCATTAGGAAATAAATTGGAATCAGATAACTCAACGTGAGATCTATACAAAATATTTTCGTTGGCATTGTGACAAGTTTTAACTGTTACAAAATCAAGACTTTTTTCTAAAGTATCTCTTGAAAACTTAATATTTGTTGAAAGATTTTTTGACTTTTTGTCACTTTTAACCAAGTTAAATGCTTTTTTATTGCATTTTTGTTTTTTATGTTTACAAAAATTTCCAGAATCACTGAAACAAGCTCCACATATGTTACACATGAATCTCTTTTCGTTAGTGTGGGTGCGTTGATGCTCTCTGCAATTTTCCGATCTCGAAAATCTTTTTTCACAATACAAGCAAACGTATGGTTTCTCCCCTGTATGCTTGCGCATATGTCGGATTAAATTTCCTTTTCTAGGAAAAGCTTTTGTGCAAAAATCACATTTAAATTGAGGAATAGGATCATGTTTTAGGTAGTGAGTACGCAAATCGCCTTTAATGGCAAATGATTTGTTGCAAACATCACAAATATGGGGCATTTCTGAACCATGACGCAGTGAATGTGTTTTTAAAGAACTCTTTGTTGCAAATGATCGTCCTTAAAAAAATTATAACCCAATAAAGTATTTATACGTTATTTATATTTATATTTAAATTTTTATTAATATTTTAATTAAAAGTATTTATATGTTTATTTAACAATATGAGAAGATTACAACCTTATGGACATAAGTAAAACACTAAACATAAGTAATAAAAAATAGTAACAACTGTTGGTTAAATAAGTATAAAAACATAATTACATAAGAGCCCTGTAAAACAAATAAACTTATAACAAACATCATTAAGTAATAATAACTAACATAAAATATGACGTAATTAGGAAAAATAAACTACCCAAAAAAATTACTCAAAACATTTACTTAAAATTTAAAAACCCCTAACTTTATATTATACTATTCAACCCTCGGAATTAGGAAAAATGAGGCCGGCAATTTTTTGCTGACCTCAAGCACTTTCAGGTCGGCAGTTAGGTAGGCATTGCCAGATGCCGACCTTAATTCCGAGGGTTGACTATTCTAACTTTATATTATACTATTCTAACTTTATATGCTATACTATGTTAAACTTATTCACAATTAAAGAAAGATATTTTTTTAAGTTTTTACAAATAACAATAAATTAAAATTTTTACGCAATTATATTTGAAGCTCTTAATGCTATTATTATCTTATTATTATTGTTGTCATTAAATATAGAAATGTTATTTACTACAAATTAAATAATTATCATTAAGCGACTAATAAATGTTGTTATATTGGCAACATATAGCAATATAACATATAGCAGGTAAGTGTATGAAAAAATGTTTGTATTCGTGTTAATTTGTAGGTATCAAAACAAAACAAAAAAGTTATAAGTAAATTATGTTAACCCCTATACATATTGCTATATGCATTGGTGTAAAAAATTTAATTTATAACATAAATTAAATTTGTTACCTCTATACATTAGCTTATTTACATTAGCTTACATTAACATACATTAGCTTATTTGATAAAGAAAAAAAACTTTTATTCTTCTCTTGACAGTCAAGAGAATAAAAGAGAAAACTATAGCAACAATCAATAATTCATTTTTATGGCTAAAATAGCTTAGAGACGATTATTAGGTTTAAATTTTTTGCTGAAAAATAAAAAATCTGGAAACAGATTTAAGTAAGTAGCAGCTTATGAATTAAAAAAATTGAAAATGTTAAATTTTACATTCCTAATAGAAAAGCCAATAATAAGAATGACTAACACGTTAATAAATACGTTTTTGAAATACCATGACACTCAAAATAAATATCCAAAATTATTTAATACTTCCACAAAAAAAAAAGTTTTATTATATGCAGATTAAATCATAAAGAGTAGTTATGCAACAACAGTACAAGTAAAAGTCTATTTTAAGAAGTTACTTGCCTTGAGGTGTATACAATCTTCCATTTTAAGTAGTTACACGTCTCAAGGTGTATACAATCTCCCATCTTTAGCAGTTATACACCTCAAGGTGTATACAATCACCTTGTAATATTTTCACCACAAAAACTATTCAATTAAAGCTCCTCTGAATCAGCAAACAACAATCAGATATGTTATAGACATCTCTGAATCAACACAACTTAAAATATATTAGACATATGTTAAAAAAACACAAAAAACGCAGCAAAGCTTTAACTCTAAGACAATTAGCAAGCAAGAAATGCAAGTTGTTAGTGATATACATTAACAATGTTTAACAGTATAACTGAAGTATTAAACCAATACCAATTAAAACATTCAAGTTATTATTTGTGGTAATATTGCTAACACCGGATAAAGTAGAGTTGTCATAATGACCCAACAGGAGATTAAATAAAGCGAATTCTTTTTAAACAGCATCATATAGTCTTGAATACAACATCATATAGTCTTGAGACATTCAATAGACTAAACTTTTAGTAGAAGGACAACATCCCCAAATGTATCATATAATTTTGTGCAAGAGCTCAGTAATATTTAATAGACTTAACTTTTAGTAGAAGGACAACATCCTCAAATGTATCATATAATTTTGTGCAAGAATTCAGTAACATCTATGCAAATTTAAGAAATGATTTTTAGAAATTTATGTAAAAATATCTAAAAGAATAAAATAGCATGACAATACATAGCTTTGATAACAGTTTGGAAAGGTTTTACGATCGTATTAGGAACGTGCTATATTTTTCTTTTAAACATTGAATAATATAAGTAATAGAGTTTTCTCCCAGAAAAAAATAAAATGATTAGTAAAATATGTGGAGCTTGGTTTGATGTTTGTTTCATTAACCTTTTTTATAAAGAAGTTTAAAAAAACGTAAGAAAGCAACTACAATTTTTAAAAAACATTGTAGAGAAAATACATTAGTTAAAGTAATTTTTGTGCTAAATGAGCATTTAAATTAATGCAAGAAAAAAATTATAAAAGTCCTGAACAACTTTATTTGAAGTTTTTTTTTTAAGAGGCAACTGATTGCATTACATTACTCACTTATTGTCACTGAAACATATTTTGGTTTGAGTACAATTTTATCTAATTATACAACTAAAGTTCAAGAATAGTTTTTTTATACTTCCTGGGAGAGGTTCATGCAAGACCATGGTCGTATGAGTTTGTGAAAATAGATACATCCCTATTAGACTCACTTTAAAATCTCAATCTCTAAAATGGGTTTTTGTAAATGAATCAATAATTTGATTTTGATACCTAATATCTAATAACAAGGTAGAAAATATCTAATAACAAGGTAGAAAATATCTAATAACAAGGTAGAAAATATCTAATAACAAGGTAGAAAATATCTAATAACAAGGTAGGAAATATCTAATAACAAGGTAGGAAATAGCAGTGCTTACTAGTCTCTAAGATAAATTTTAATCTAAAAAAGGTTTAGCTTGAAATCAAATAAACAGTTTAGATTTTTAGTTAACTTTATTTATAAAAAATTATTAGTGTATTTATTTAAACTTTTAAAATTGGTTTTTAATACAATTTATTTAGCTACATCAATTTAATGTTTGGCTTTGATGCAAAAGGATTCACTATTCTAGTTTTATTTTATTATTTTAGTTTATTGAAAAAAAAAAACTTTTAAAATTTATGTTTATAATAAAAAATAAAAATAAAAATTAAATTAAAAAAAAATAGACTAGTGTTATGACATTATCCTACTTATTTATATATGTTTTTCTAATCACAAAGTCTATGGCTTTAACTAATCACAAAATACACAGTTCACCACACAAAGACAAAATGTTTCTAAAATGTTTGGTTCTTTGAGGTATCTAGTGTCTCTTTTCAATTGTTGAAGCCAACTGATTTCAATTGTTGAATCCTTTGTTATTTTTTCATACCATGTTTTTTAGTTTGGTTTTTAACTTTAAACCTTACTAAACCTTTAGTAAGGTTTAAAGTTAAAAGAAACAGTAGTAATGTAACCAGCTTTATTCTCTGAAAATCATTTTTTCTAGAGATAGGAAAAAAATCCAAAAAAGATTTATGAATGATTTGAAAAGATCTATAATTGGTTTGAAAAAGTTTACAAGTAGTTTAAAAAAGTTTGCGATTGGTTTGAAAAAAGTCTATGATAGGTTTATATTCCATTTTTACTTGGTGAAACTTCTACTTGCTGAAACTTCAAAACATTTACAAACTTCTTAACTTCAAAGAAGATATATAATAGGATTTTAGGAACCTTGGAATTGTTAAACCTGGAATCTCTGGCTACCGTTATATATATATATATATATATATATATATATATATATATATATATATATATATATATATATATATATATATATATATATATATATATATATATATATATATATATATATATATATATATATATATATATATATATATATATTTACTTAGAGATACAACTAATAAATAAAATAAACAAACAAGCTGCAATACACAAGTGTATAGTCTAACAATAGTAGATGTCAGACCGTAACAGCTTTGCTATATATAAATATTATACAGCTATTATATATATATATACATATATATATATATATATATATATATATATATATATATATATATATATATATATATATATATATGTATATATATATATATATATATATATATGTATATATATATATATATATATATGTATATATATATAGTGTTTCTGTAATTTTTTTTTTTAATAGCTATGCATACAGTTTTTAAAAAAACGAAATAACAATTTAAACTTTTGAAAAAATAGACATACTATATATACAAACTCACCACATAAAGTACACTTAACTAACCACATTAAGTACACTTAACTCACCACATAAAGTACACTTAAATGAAGGTGGATTTTCTTCATGACTCCTCAAATGAATTTTCAAGGCAGAAATGTTTGAGTAACTGTTTATGCAAATCCCACATTTGAAAGGACGAACAATATTGTGCTTAGAACTACAATGTAGCTTAAACTTATAGCTTGAAAAAAACATGGCATCACATTCTTCACAAACATACTTTTTACTTGAAGAATGTTTAGAATTAATATGCAAGTTTAAACTAACAGCTTCTTGAAAAACACTATTACATTCTAAACATGAGTAAACTGAATCAATATCATTTGATTTAGTATCTATATTGAAATGTTCATTAACTGTACCACCGGCTTCGGTAACTAAGATAGAAGTTTTTAAATCTGTTTGTGTTAAATCCATTTCATATTCTTGTTTATTGCAAACCAAATCTAATGTACAAAAATTAAATATAAAAAAAAATTATATTTTTTATAAGATATAAAAAATTTATACTTATAAATATTTAAAATTATTAAAATTAAAAATTAAAAATAATTAAGGATTGGAAATGAAATAAACATACAAAAAAAAAAATCATTAAATTACAATTGCAAAAGTTTCTACAGAAAACTAAAAATTAAAAAAAGTTTCGAATTTAAGTATACAGATCCAATATAATTGAGTGCAATATATTATTTAAAAATAATTGAGTGCAATATATTATTTAAAAATAATTGAGTGCAATATATTATTTAAATATAATTAAGTGCAATATATTATTTAAAAATAATTGAGTGCAATATATTATTTGAAAATAATTGAGTGCAATATATTATTTAAAAATAATTGAGTGCAAATATTATTTAAAAATAATTGAGTGCAATATATTATTTGAAAATAATTGAGTGCAATATATTATTTAAAAATAATTGAGTGCAATATATTATTTAAAAATAATTGAGTGCAATATATTATTTAAAAAAGATGACGCAATTACATGGTAAATTTCATTAAGTAAAGCAAATAGTTATTAGTAAAAAAACAAATATAATGCAGAGTTGAACTGAGGGTAACCAGTATCTATAAAAAAATCGATCTATTAAAACCTATGACCAATATTAAAAAAGTAGACCTATTATAATATAAAAAAGATCTATTAAAGTAAAAATGTTTTTGTTTTTTTGTTATTATTTATAAACTTTAAAAATGTTAAAGATTTAAGAATTTAAATTGCAGTTCACAAAGCACATTAGTCTTTAAAAGTCAGTTCAATGTTAAATACCTGGTACAGGATAAACTTAAATGTAGTAATTATAATCTAGTTTAAACTGCTTCTAAGACTACTCTTGGGTATAAATATGTATGTTGGGTATACGTATGTATGTATGTATGTATGTATGTATGTATGTATGTATGTATGTATGTATGTATGTATGTATGTATGTATGTATGTATGTATATATGTATGTATGTATGAAATTAATAAAATATTGAAATGTTTTTAACATTTTAACAATAATAAAACATTTTAACAATCAATATCTTTATAGTATTATTTAGTAGCTTAATACTAATTAGTCGTTGACATAATAAGGTGGACAGTGGGATTTATTTTATCCCCCTCCTTCCATCCAAGGATTTGAAAAAAAGAAAGACAAATTCTAAATGCAAAATAGGTAAATAAAATTACAACAAAATTAATTTAAATGTATTTAATTTTTTTGTAACCAACTGTTTTCCAAATCTAAATCAGATAATTTGTATGTACAACATGATATTGTTGTGGATGTAAAAATCAAGCATATAACTTCAGAATTGAGCACCTAACACTCGTCATTTCTCATTGGCCAAAAGAAGTTTTTACCTGTTACATGCGGATGCATGAATCTGACTTTTATATCAAGCTCACTTTCATTTTCAGCAATCCCTACCCACCAAAATCCGTCATAAAAATATGCAATATAATCCATTTTGTTATTGTTTAATAAAATCTCTTTATTATGTTTTCTTTTTGGAATGATATCAAATATTTCAATACATGTATAAATACTTGTTTTTTTATAACTTGTAGTGTTTGAAGCAATTGGAATAATGATGATACGTCCTTGTGCCAGGAATTGTTCTTCCACGTAAATATCTTTTTTTTAATTGTGCTTGTGTTTGGTCAATTTTGTCTTTAGAAAATAATTTAAAACAAATTCCATTTATCTTGGCTTTACAAAAAGAGTACATTAAATTAATAACTAAAATCTGCCCAATAGTTATTTGTTTTAGAATTTCTTGACATACATCTTTTAACAGCCCCACCAACACCATCACAGGGGGATTTACCATGACTGGTAAATCCCCCTATGATTTCACACTTACATCAGGTAAATTTTCTTTGATATATCTAGTTTTATCTTCCTAAGTCTTGTAAATAAATCCTGTGTCATGATCAACATCTTCTGAAAGGTAACAAAAAGATTTGTGTTTGAGAACTTTTTTCTCTAAAAAATAAAGTACAATTGTAAAAAGTGAACATTGACTTTTACTCCAGTGATAACTTTGAACCTCATCCTAAACAACATACTGATAATTTTCAGGGAAATCTCCTAAACTTAGGCATCGTTTTGGTTAAGATTTTCTTTACAGTTTTTCAAGTATCTACTTTGTGTTTTTTTAATATATGAATGAGTGGTAAGGTTGTCAATGCTGTCACATAATAAATCATTAAAATCATCTAGTGGCAATGATTGTAATAGTAGTGTTGTACTATCAGTACTCTGCCATTGCTTGAATGCTACATCCTCTTCAAGCTTATGGTCCATAAACTCCTGCACTAAAAATTTTTCTAATGCTTCAATACAAGGGCATTGGTTACATCAAGGCAACATACATTCTGCATTTTCAAGAGAGCAAACAATCAATGCCATAAAATCTTTATAACTTTTATTCCACTCTATGGCATCAAAAAATTTTGTATTTTGGTACATTGTGGGTACCTGATGCATTGGTTGTAGTACACCATTTAGGTTTAAGAGTACAAAACTTTGACAAACTGACATTGACGTTAGGGTAGTCTTTTTTAAATGCAACATTTAATTCATTTAGATTGAGTAGCAATAATCTTTTTTGAACATGTTGGTTTTCCTTAACACTTTAAAAATCTTTTTTTTCTATTCTCGAAAATTCATCACTTAGATAAAAGTTAATCGCTAAATTAACTGTTTCTGGTGAAAGTGGGTTTCCAGTTTTTTTTATTGGGAAATGATAGAATTTTATGCTCATTTTTAACTTTTCTTGCATTTCGAACAAGATACTCAGATACTTCAAAGTAGCTTGATATCTTTGTACGTGTCCATGGTTTTGGTGCGAATATTAGCATTTGTACCTTATGAAGAAAAAGAGTCAGTCTTTAAAATATATTTTTTAATTTCATACATTAAAATGTGTAGATCATGGTCATTGTTAATGTTGTTGTTTGAAATGGGACTTTTTATTTCTGTTGTTAAAGAAGTTTATTTAATGTTATATGCTAATGAGACCATTTTTGCAACTCTGTCAATAGTGTTCTCAAACTTTTGTTTTGCTGCAGGCAATTTGCTGTGTTTTGAAAGACTTTTTAGTTTGACTGGTGAAATTCCAAACAATTTAATAGTGATATCTAGCTTAATTTTTTCTCACTTATTGATTCCCATTCACCATGTGAATTTAAATCTCCATCTGTTTCTACTGCTTTTTTGTAACATTTACTGCAGAATTTCCAACCTTTCTCTAATGTCACATTTCTCCATATTAAACAGGCTTGGTCAGGAAGCGGGAGCGATTGCTCTCAAAGAAAACTTGTGTATGAGTTTTACCTAGCCAACAGATCAGAGATCTATTGATCAATAGATCAAAACCATTAACCCTTAAGCACTTTGTAGCTGAAAAAAATGCCTAGATTATCAACCAAGCTGAAAACAAATCTGGCCACCAGAGAGCGAATGGTTGTGGCAAAAACTGGTTTTGCTTGACCAAAACAAAGTAAAGTGACTAAAAGCGATGTTCGACTATAAAGACACAGTAAACAGTTACACAGTTCACAACACTAAACAGCTAGACAATTGCAATGCAGCTATAAATACATCTTCCTGACACTTAAAAACAAGTCTTCAATCCATACAAGAAAGAAAATCAGGATCGCTAAGCAAACGTAAGACCAGAAAGCAAAGATTAGACCAAGATGCTGTCAGTTGTGTAAAAAGTTGCAAAAAAGTGTTGCATTTTGGATGATGAATTCACTTCACTTTATCTCACTTGAACATCAACGGCAATAGCACTTTGTGCACCAGCGATGTTTCACACAATAAGAGATCTGTGTTCTGTCAAGATTTAGCTTCAACTCATTATTGTAAACTTGCATTGGAATGGTATAAAAATAACGTGAAATTTGTGCCTAAAACAGAAAATCCTCCAAACTGCCCAGAATTAAGAGTTATTGAAAAGTACTGGGCCGTTACTAAAAGAAAAATAAAAAATAAAAAACTTTGAAGAAATATTAAAGATATTAAAATATCATTTAAAAAAGGATCAAATAGCTTCAATTTTTATTCTGTGCACAAGCTTATGGGTACCACACCAAAGCAAAAGTTCGAAATTTTATTAGATTCCCACAGGAATAACTTGATTTTTTTAAATATTTGATCTTCTTATATTATTGTATTAAAGTTATTACTTGGTTGGAAATAAAAATTGAAGAGTACTTTTTTTTAGTTGTTTTTCTACTTTCACATTTATTTTGTGTACACGCTTGATTTTATAAATTTATGAATTGTTATAATTAAATTGTGTTATAATATGCTTATAAAAACATAAGCATATTATAACACAATATTCAAACATGATGTTATTTTTAATAAACTTTTTAAAATAATATTTTTTGTAAACCAAACAAATTAAAATATTCATTCAATGAGATTTTTTAAACTAAATACACTTTTAATAAGAATAATCGCATTTTTGACATATTTTTTTAACAAAAATAAGTATCTATTTCTAACTCTACTTTTATAATACTATATTTGCACAAACTTTTTTGCCTTTTCACTCCCTAATTAATTTCTAACTTTTGAGCAGATAAAACTAATTGAGGAAAAAATCATTCATGCAATTTTTTCTGAACTGATTTCTTGTTTCTCTGGTTAACGATTGAACTCCAATCACAGCACAATACTGTTGATATAATTCAATTGGTTGACATCCTTATAAATCACAATGCTTTCACGAATCTTAATCCTTACTTAATTTCATTTCTCGCACATCTCTTAAAAAAAAAGTTTAATAATTATTCTTAAACTTTTATATATCTTTTATACTTGAAGTTGATGAACCGCAAACACAACAAAATATTTACATCTGCTTGACATGTATTACAAAAATATTTCTGCACTTTATTCACATGTTTTATGACATCTGGGTATGTTACTTCCTTTTCTAAAAGATTTAAATAGAATGAGTGCAGAACACCTATATGATAAAAGATTTGGTTGTTCCTTGGATTAAATCCCTTGTGTTTTTTTATCTTAAAACTGAAACTGTTTAATTAAGAATACCTTTGTAAATATAAAAGTAAAAAAATATTTAATTATACTTGCATAATCATTAATCAGTTTAAACTAGTTGAAATAAAGTTTAAACTAGTTGTTAATTTAATTTGTTTGTGTGATCCTATCTAACATTAACAAAATTTGTTTGTGTGATCCTAACTAACATTAACAAAATTTTAGACAAATTTAACTAACTCCAACTAACTAAATTACAAAATTAACCAACAACCTAGAATTGTTATATTATTTCTAATTTGTTTAACTTCTGTTAACTGCAGAAATTTCACAGAATTGGTGGATTAAGTTTTTTTTAATAAAATAAAAAACTATATACTTTTTTTGTTTAATGTACAAAAAATTATCTAATGCATCTATAAAAAAAACATAATAGCCATAATATTATAATTTATAATACAACAAATCTTGAAGAAAAGTTTCTAACATTAATATAAAATATACTTGTAATAAGTAGTGGTAAAAAACAATAAATAATTAAATTATTAAAAAACAACATTATTTTATGTCATTGTGTAATAATGATACAATAACTAAAATTCTTGAGATGTTCATGGATATAGAGGTGTTAAATCAAAACCAGTACACAAGTATAAAGATCCTCTTGTCTAATCAGTCAAATCTGTCAAACTTGGTGGGTTGGTTTATATCAATGAGAAAAGCAATTCCTTAAAACTTCAGATTACAATCTTTTGTGAATTCAGCAAAATATATATATATATATAAAAGTATATCATAATCATTAATAGAAATAAGCTATAAACAAAAACTGAATTAAACTCAGTTTTTAAATACCCTTAGTTGCCTCTCCTCCCCCTGTCCAATTACTTTTTAACATGCAGGTTTGGTCGGAAAGCAAGAGCGATCGTTCTTGATTGCTGGAAATAATATGTACCATGGAAATAATATTTAGTAGCGAAAAGCTAGCCAGATTTTTTAGTCGTTTTAAGACCACTTTCAACAAGCAAAAAAAATGCGCAAAAGATTAATTGGACCGATGAGAAACAATTACAAAAAAAAAATTAGGAAAATAAAATATCTTTTAACACGAAAAAAATTAAAGCAAAATAAATTACGTTTAGAACAAATATTTTTGAAATATTGCTCTTTTATAATTTTTTTATAAAATTAAGCGATGTTTTTTATATAAAGTAACATCTTACAATTGTTTAAAAAGGAAACAAATGTTCTTTATTTAACAAAAATTTGCAAGTTTTAGTCTTGCCTAAGCTAAATTATTTTATAAATAAAAAAGTTAATTTTTTTAATGCCTATTTTATGCGTAGTTTAACATATTTTAAAGTTTAACACATTTAAAACAATTCTTCTTAGTAAGATAAACAAATGAAATAATTAAATCATTGAATTTTTATTGAAATTAAATTAACTAGATAGAAATCAACTAAAAAGGTTAGAAATACTTTATGACGAGGAAGCGAAACTGCTTAACAATATCACTGATGATGTTTAGTGAGTGGGCTTTTTAATTTTAATTGGTATTTAAAGCAGAAAAAAGTATAACAAGTTTTTAAGAATGGCAACTTAAGCAAAAAAATTAGAGTTAGTAAACCAATATCTAGAAATTTTTCTTTATATCTAATAACTTGCTATATATATTTGTATTCTGTCGTGACCTCAGGCGTGGTGCGTGTTCATCTGCGAGTTACTTTGTATGTATTGTTTGTGTTTAGTAACCAGAAATTTTGAATATGTTTGTTACATAATTAGTTTTATTAACTTTAATGATTATTAATAACTTCATTGAAAATGCAATTATTTTTGTAAGTCTTTGTTTACAAATTAAATCATAAAATTTGCTTTAAAAAGATTACATTACGATAAAAAATAGATACACAAAATTACATTTACAAAAAAAATACATACTTTTTAAATAAAAAATAAGAATTTACTAATAAAATCTATAATTTATAATAAACTTTCAAAATTTAGACAATTTAAATAATATGTATTTAGAACATTTATTTTTGTAAACAAATAATAATAGTTTATAAGATTTTTGGCTTTGTAGATGTGACTCTGAGAATGAGCCATATTATTGATAATATAATCTTAAAACAATTTATGCTAAAAATCTCAAAACATAACAAATCATGAATTTCTCAAACATTAACAGTATTTTATGAACCAATAGAATTAGTTTGTTCGTTAATTTGGCGGGTTTTTAGTGTTCGCGAATATTCTTTTTATTATCACGCACCAAGAACATTCAATTTTTTTATGTTTCCATGTATGTCCGTAAAATAAATTTTTTTTTTTTCGAACATAGACTTAAACGACTAAAAAACCTGGCCGGTTTTTCACAACTAAATATAATTTCCGTGGTTAGTATTCAAGAGTGATCGCTCCCGCTTCCTAACCAAGCCTGAACATGCATATTTTAATGCAATGTAGCAAAAAAATATTATTCTGCTGATCTTGTTCATGGTGACATAAGTTAGATATGTTTTTATATTTTTTATATTGTGAACTTGCACCATCACTGAAATAAATGCAATCGTTGAAGTAGGGTATTAACTCTTTTAAATGTTTTAATACTTCATGAATGAAACAATAAACTGAGTTTGTATTGTGTTGCAAATGATCTGAAATGATACAAATACTTTTATATTTTATCTTATTTTCTTCCATAAAGTAAATAACAAAAGAATGCAATGTTGCTTGGCTGTTGTTCTAATAGAAACCTTGTACTGCATCTTGAATTAAAAAACTGTAATTTTCAGCAAAGTATAGTAATATTAAAT